GAAGGTTGAGGCACGAACTCCACCACCTCATCCACCCTGCCTTCTAGCTCTGCCACCCTCCTCTTCTTCCTCTGGAGCGGTGCCGTCTCCTCGCTTACGTCCTCACTGCCCCCCATCACAGGCTCCGGCCTTGGCTGCACCTCCACGGCCCGGGCTGAGGTGCTGGGTAGGCGCTCTCTCTCGGGCACCCCCCTGTTCGCCACAGCTGAAGTCGTTGACTTCTTCCTTGGCTTCTTGGGGATGCGCAGCCCCCCAGCAGCATTGGTAAACTCTTCCATTTCAGCTGCAACACAAACGCAAAAGTAAAAACGCATAAACTAAAATTTAACTAACATCGCACAATGCAAACATACACAGACCTTCGCTCAATGAGCTTGGCCCATAAAGCTCAGCAGCATCTATCGCCTCCTGGCTGGTGAGGTACAAGATGTCCACTACGTCCCCGTCTTCCCTCACCAGCTTCTTCACCTCCTCCATCTCATCCTCATTCAACCTATAGTTGTTCTGCTTGGTTTTCTTCTCTTTCCAAGCAGACAACTGTTCTACTTCGGCATCCCTCCTACTCCACTCGGTGTCATCCACAAAGAAGAAATTTTCTTTCCACCCTTTGATAGATGACGGCCCAGGAGAGAATAAATTTCTATTCCCTTTGCTGGATGACCGAGGACCGAAGTGGTACCACCCCTTCTCCCCCCTACCCCCAGCCTTAATTATGAAAAAATGTTTGAACATATTTACTGTTGGAAACCCAACCCCCCGAACTCTGCAGTATACAAGAAAGCCTATTACTACCCTCATGGCATTGGGAGTTAGCTGGGTTATTCCTACACTATAATCTAATAATAACCCAACCAGTAATTCTGGAATGGGAAACCTAAGCCCTGCAATCAAATAGTGCAGGTATATGGGCATCCAATGATCTCGGGGTGCTGAGCATGCCCTCTCATTCACCCCGGCAGGCCTAATCAGGACATGGTGGGGAAGGTTGCAGTTCCCCACTAACCCCTTAAGACTATTTCTACTCCCTAATTCGCTTACATACCCCCTCACCTCGGACACTATCTCTAGGTCCGGGTCATAGCACCCGTCTACGCCATCCCCAGATTCTAACACATTCGAGGGGATATCCTCTTCTTCCTCCCCTACTACTACTTCTTCTCCCCTCTCCTCCACTGTCCTCTCCGAACTCGTTGGAGACGGACTGGTCTCCGAATCCATGCCACCATACTCCAGGGGCATTACCTCACTTCCCACCACACTCATAGCCTCGTCTGAAGACATCTTAATCTCTGCATACAGAGGGAGGAGGAACGAAATCAGGATCCTTAACAATTCAAGTACCCTCAACACATTCTCACTCCCAAATTCCCTCCGACAAACTCAACATCAACCACAGAAAGGGAGAAAGGAGGACACACTTCGATAAAATCATAGTAAAAAATTCGAAAATTTTACCTAATTTTGATCTTGGAAACTGTTGTGGAAGTCGTAATCGAAACGCAAACCGCACGAAAATCGCAGAAATTTAGGAGAAATTTAGCACAAAGTTAGTCACAAAACAACGAGAGTAAAAAAGCCCCCTTTACAGAAGTACAGCCTTTTATACGAACGGCAAGATACGCCCCAACGG